ATCGGTAAAGATGATGAAGTCACGACCTTCCACAAAATGACGAAAATGTTTCACTGAGGCATATATGGCGAGCAGTTCCCTGCCGAAAGTGCTGTACCGCATTTCGCAGGTGGATAACTTCCGGGAGAAGAATGCAACTGGGATCCAAGTGTGATCCGAAAGTTGTTGCAACACAGCTCCAATGGCCGTGTTAGAGGCGTCAACCGCAATGCTAAGAGGTAGGTTTACGTCTTGATGCACCAGCATCGTGGCGTCTGCTATTGCGGTTTTGATCTTGCGAAATGCTTCTAGTGCCTCAGGAGTCAAGCTGAAAGTTTTACATTTACTTTTCAGCAGGTCGGTCAGTGCAGTCAAAATGTGTGCACATTGGGGAACGAAGCGACGATAATAGCTCACCATACCCAGAAACACACGCAGAGCTTTAAGTGACGCTGGGACTGGGAAGTCTTGGATCGCCTGTACCTTTTCAGGTAGTGGGCGAATGCCTTGCTCGTCGATAACGTGTCCCAAAAATTTTAGTGAACGAACGCCAATTGGCATTTGGCCAGGTTGACTGTCATCGAATGCTCTGACAGTCTGGCGAAAACCTGTTTCAAGTGGTTAAAATGAGTGTCTTCGTCAGGACTAGCGATTAGTATATCGTCTAGGTAGGCATAGGCGAAATCGAGTCCACGTAAAACATCGTGAATAAAACGTTGGAAGGTTTGTGCTGCATTGCGAAGACCAAAAGGCATACGGAGGAACTCAAAAAGACCAAACGGTGTAATGACGGCTGTCTTGGGAACATCATCAGGATGAACCGGGATCTGATGATATGCACGCGTCAAGTCAAGCTTACTGAAGATAACCGAGCCTTTTAAAGATGCAGTCAAGTCGTGAATGTGAGGGACTGGGTAACGATCTGGAATCGTTTTAGCGTTGAGCCTTCGGTAGTCACCACAAGGCCTCCAGTCCATGCCATTGTTCTTGGGTACCACATGCAAGGGTGAAGACCATGGACTGTTGGATGGTCTGATTATTCCCATTTCAAGCATGTGTTCGAACTCGGCTTTTACAGCACGCAGTTTCTCCGGGGATAATCGCCGTGGTTTCGCAAACACTGGCGGGCCAGTCGTCGTTATGTGATGAGAAACGTTCGAAGTCACACAAGGGACACAACGACTTGGCTTAAAGACATCCGGAAAGGACTGAATGATAGACGCGTAGGGACTAGAAGCGTCCGTCGTGCAGTACACGGGACTGAGGGGCGGCGTCTTTGTGACTATACCGGAAACAGAGAGTGTTGTGGTAGAATCTATCAACTTATGCTTGCCAGCATCTACCAGCAGCTGATAGTGCTGCAAGAGATCCATACCAATAATGCCGGTGGTCACATCTGCCACTATGAAAACCCAACGAAAGGGACGACGCAATCCAAGGTTGAGATCGAGGAATCTCCGACCATAGGTTGTGATGGGCGAACCGTTGGCGGCACGAAGTTGCAGAGACATTGGCCGCAGACGCTCTTCCTTCGTAGGTGGGATGACGCTAGCTTCTGCCCCAGTGTCAACTAGGAAGCGTATCCCAGAATGTCGATCAGTGACGAAGAAGAGGCGACATGGAAGTGGCTCGCCAGCGACGTTAGTCGCCGTCACGTGCTGGCTCACACGTTTCCCGCCTGGTTAGCCTCGAAGGTGCAAGGTCGAGTGCACCTTTTGGCATTGGCACCATAACGTTTATGGTACCAGCACAACCTGGGTTGGGATTGTCGCGATTTGGAACGTCTGCTACCGGTACGGGAGGCAGACCTGTTGCGCGAGCGAGACGTGCGACCGTTGGAAGAACTACCAGACCGCATTTCGTTCCTGATGCTGCACAACTCCCATACAATTTCGAGATGTGAGCTATAACATCGAAACTTGTTGGCTCAACAGCCGAGGGATGTGGGTTTTTGGACGAATCCGTGGCAGTAGACAGTGCAGCTGAGATACTAGTGTTGGGTTTCGTAGCATCCACAGCTCTGTCAGCCGCTTCCGCCAGCTCTATTAAGGGACACTTATGGAAGGGTGCGAGGATCCCTTGAACCGACTGTGGTAACCTCTGTAACCACAGTTGCTTGAGAAATGCTTCATCAATGTTGAAGTCAGCAATCAGCTGCTTCATCTGACGAAGCAGTTGCGTCGGCTTGCGATCACCCAGATGCACATCCCTGAAAAGTTCTTGCACTTTCTGCTGGTCAGTAAGTGCAACACGTTTGATGAGGGCGGTTTTGAGGCGATCGTAAAGATTCGGTGCTGGGTCATCTAGCACATCTGAGACGTCTTCGATCACATTTTCCGGTAAGCTGACGATGACTAAGTTGGACTTAGTTTCTTGTGATTGAATGTGTCTCAAGGCAAACTGAGCTTCCACATGGGAGAACCATGCAGATGGTCTGTGGGCCCAGAAGGTGGGAAGCTGGAGGGTTACGGCCATCTGCGCAGTCGAGTCGTTATCCGCCATTGATCAGGGAATTAACGAGGCACGATAGTGATAATAAAAAAAATTACAATGCAAAAATAACCAATGAGGAGTGCAATAAAAAAACGCTAGACGTGCCAAAAACAAAATAGGCCAGACAAATCAACGCAAGAGAACAAAGGTACTAGACAAAGTAAGAAGTGATACTCGGGCTCACCAATTTTGTAGGGATGCGTGTTACAATTCCGTAACGTTTGATCAACCCTACTTAATTTGATGTGCTCTAGTACCTGCTTAACCAGTACTTTACCTAACGTGTAAGTACTGATAACAAAACACAAATCAAAAGAACTGATACGCAATGTATTTAAAGGAGCTATGTATTTAAGGTAAATGTAATAATGATGAATGAGGGAAAAGTTTAATCAACTTATCTGGCTTGTAAGGCTGAACTAGGGACTCGGAGTACGTGCGTGGTGATCAGCACAATGGAGCGCAAAAATGGCGTCCAAGCCTGCTCGTTAAAACAAAACTTAAAACACCCTAAGCATCCGGAGGCAAGCTAGAGATTTATTTAGTTAATTTAATTTAAACTATTTACTTTAGCCCTATTTATATTTTGGTGCCAGGAAGGTGCGCTACAACAGCTTTCAATATTGGCACCCTTGGTCAAACTAACCAACAAGTTTCGACAGCCAAAACTCTGGTATCTCGAGTCATGGATATGCGCTGTTTGCGAGACGCACATTCGGAGCCCAAGTGCAGTCATTCACTTAACCTCATTCGATCAATATGATAAATCTGCGAAATTCACCCTTCGAGTTTCTGGAGATTCGATGGTCGGTTCTCAAGATCGTGTCGCTGAAGGTATAGCATCAAGTGCTGAGGTATAAAGTTCACTACTTAGTTGGATCCCAGTTGACAGTTTCCTATGAATTGCGAAACAGCTTAGGTGAAACGGTAGCTTTGAGAAAAATGTTAACATTGATAAGAAATCCAACGAATGAAGAAGCAATTGTCGTAGTTTTTGTTTACTGATTGAGAAATTTAAATAGATTGTGTCCCCCCTAAACTCAGAATAATACTGTTCTTAAGCAATAAATTAGTGACGTCTGAATCCTTTTAAATGCCTCAGGAAAAATAAGGGGTTGATCAACACCATATATATATATGCATGCATGCCAAAACACCACTGATTACCACATCTAAAGCAAGATCTGGAATTCCGTATCATTTGACTTACGTGGTTAGCCTCATACAGTAATTGAAAGCACATAGATATATTACAGTTATTCCCAGACTCCCAATACTTAGGAAAAACGAATATTGTCAGAAAGCACATTTTGTTGCCTTATTAACTCCTTCATAGTACATGAATAGTTCATATCAACCGTGGACTCAAATATATGTGATCTACGCCAGGTACACCACTGATGAGCTGGGCCCCAGAGGCGTGAAACCACTGCCCAGTGTTTATATCACTGACCTGGTCAGCAAAATCTACGGATCAGCGTCAGTAGTTTCTAATCACTCATTTTCTTCAGCAGCGTATTCAATTAGTTCATAAAACTTTTGTTTCAGAGAGCACACTTTGTAATCATGTCTCGGTGGTTTCCAATGGAAACCCTGTTGATACCACAGTTGAAAGACTACTCAGCTGTGAAAACGTCATCTTAAAACGTACAGTTTTTAAAGAACTTACATTTTTTGAAAACACAAGACTTAAAGTTCATGAACATGAATGACATCTACTCAGGCATTAGTTTGCTGGTAACCACCACCCGGCTGGAGTGATTCAGGGACTGTCATCACTAAAGCATAGTGAGTTACAAATCCCAGTTTCATAATTAATTACCTTACCTAGCAGACCATATTAGTCTAGTTCCAAAGATTAACAGCAGCCGGTTTTCTTTACCCGTAGTAAGGTTGTACCACTTAAAACATGTATTATTTTAGTGAAATTATCTAAATTTTCATGAATCAAAAGAAGCTATATTTTCAAACAGCAAAATCTTGAATACTTTGTATTCACCGTAATGACAAACAGTTAAAAAGAAAAAAAATCAGAGAGATCCATACAAACTGTCATCAAGTTACAGTAGGAGGCTATGCTTCATAAAGATGAAGAGAAGTAAAAACCCTTGACACCACTGAAGTAAGATGTGTTGTTAAACAAGAACATAATTTATAGATCGGGTCATAAAAGAACTAAATATGATCACAGAAAGGAAACAATATTTTACAGAGCACCGAAAACAAAGTTGTGTATCCATAAATCGACCAAGTAAGTGAGTAACATAGGCACAAAGAATAGTGAAAATGCAGATTACAACTCCTTGCCAAGTTTCCCCAACTAAATAAATAAATAAAATGAATGAGGGATAAAAATTAATTACTTCTACTAATAAAAAATACACTGTAGTAAAAAGTAAAGGTAAAAATATGCAAATCTCTTCTTATGATAAATACTAAATAATGGTGACTGATACGGGTACAAACAAACCCAGCTATTATACAAAAACTGGTACATATTCTTTCATAACGTGGAGACACGCTAGTACTTTTCATACAGCATTAAAGATTGAAAATATAGGCATGTTCTATGTGGTCTTTGGGTCTTAGCCATAAAACATTTATTGTGGACTGTTATGCGTAAAAAAAGGCTAATTACTTTTTTCTATACAATGAAACACTAAATTTACGTTGTTAGACATGCAGGATAAAAGGCTACGTTTCTGCATTATGAGATAATACGTTTCGTAATGTAAAGATGTGGCTCATTCCATTAAGCACCTAACTATCAAGCAATAGGATCCTGGTTCAAATCTTGGCCCGGGCAGATGGTAGTATAATGAGCCTTTACACAATAGGTATGGCCAAAAAGCCTTGTACATAAACCTGTAAAGGATTGAGTTCCATTATTTTCATTGCTATTTACTTACGTATTTTAGTAAGGAGAATAAAGCTTTGCAGAAGGGCACCGAATATTTACACAACAAGAGTTATTCTAAAATATATTTGGGATCACTTGAGTATAAGTTTTGTTGACGGAGTACGCAATTTTGATAATACATACATAAATCCTAAAGAATATCTATTCGGAGAGAAGCACTCAGTACACTTAAGTTACACATTTGAAGCGAATATGAGAAGCACAAATGCAGAACATTTGTGCAGCACTATTTTCCGCTTCAAAAGTAACGAGGGATGTTGAACATTTAGAAACTATATTTACACTTAGTAAGAACCTAGATGTTTTATGCTGAATATCCATTGACGAAAAATAGATGGTTACAGTAATGATACTGAAAATACTCCAAGAATGATTCTCTACGGGAATGGGGAAGACTTCAAAACACAAGAGTTACTTTGATATAAAGGCATAAACTTGTTTTAGACTGATAGTACTCAACCATGAAATGAACGATTAACAGATGTCTTATTCAAGCAAAGATGTTTCATGAAGTGGCACTCATAGAAGCTGTGAATAGTTTCTACAAATATTTGATAGTTCAGCCAAGTTTTCAGAGATGTATTTGAATCGCTTCTACGAAATTTATAAGTAACTTTAAAGCACAAATGGTATATTTAACGGAAGGAGAAGGGTGCATTGCCTCTTATTTAACAACACTGAAGTTTATTTTGGGGTATAGTCAATGGTGCTTTAGACCTTCCTGTATTTAGACAAAACAAAAAAGTATAAACTCCCCTTAGGTAAACCAATTTAATAGGTATGCTGGATAATAGAGCAAGGTATCAGTTATCAATTGGTAAATTCCCTAAAAGCTCAAAAGTAATTGAGAATACTTATATTATGCAAAGCATAAACTGCAAAAGAAACGGGAATTTTTTAACAGATTCATGCTTCTTATGCAATAGTTCCATATAATATTAGAAAACGCTTCAGTAGAAAGAATATGAGCATCAATGCTAGAAAATACAAATAACAACTACTTATGACTCATGATATGCTTACTTCAGTCAAAATTCACTAGGACTAAGTAATTCGGTGCAACCATAAGTAACATGTTTCGAGTAAGCAGGTGCCATGACGTTGAGAGAATTCGATAAATCATGAGCTCCTGGACCAGACCGACTGCTTATTCCATTCACAGAACTTGCCAAAGATCCCGAGGAGCCAGTAGATGAAAGAGTGGTGCTACCAGTTGACTTAACCCAGTCTAGTAGATTCTGATATTCTACATAACTGCCTCCACCAATCACAAAAACAAAAGCTTCATCGAAAGGCTGCTTGACACGAGGCACATTACTAAAATACAGAAAAGAAAAGATGAGAATAGAAGCAACTTAAAAGGTTAACTATTTCACCTGTTGAATAAGCGGAACTTTGAAAAACTAGCTTTTACTTTTGATCCAGAACTGACAACGATACGGAAAATGTAAAAAATCAGTGACTTAGATAAATATTTATTATATTCTTTTTCTGAGCTGTGGGTCATTGATATAGGCACTCGACTTCCAACTAGTGGGTCACAAACCCAAGCCCTATCTACAGAGGTCTGCGAGCTAGATAGTGTCACGAGATCTCATATAATGTGTGTGGCTTATTGCCTACTATACAAAGGTGCAAGTGGTTACTGATTTGTATCATATGTTTTTTCCTGACATCAGCTTTTCAATTAAGGAATGTGATGGAGAGTATTTGTGGCCAAGGAGGATAATTTTGATGTCATGTTCTTTGAGCTGGATGGTTTAGTCGTTAGGGTTTTATTTTCATTCTAGACAACATCATCAGCAAAAACCTCCTCCACAAATGGCTTAGTAGCTTGTCCTGATGGCCTCGTGTATGAGTGGTTGTCCCTGCCAAGGTCTTGGTTCACTGTCTCTACACTTATTTCGATTTTTTGTTTTGCTGATGAGAACTTTGACCTCCCTTTTGTTTCTCAGTGGTTGATAGATTGGGTCAATGTCAATGTATCTATTGATCGTTGACTGAATACCAAGCCTCTAAAAATTCCCTGGGGTTCTTTTTATTTCCTCTACCCAGGATTTTCACATTTTCGCAGCCAAATTCGTGTTCACAGTCGTCCGTATGCCTTGATATGAGCGAAGATATGGGAAGATGCTTCACTGCTAGTTGATGTTTATGTAGACGAACAAAAGGAGGGCAACTACTCTGTCCGATGTGGTGTTTTACGCAGTTTATTTTGTAGATGTTTGGTTTGTTCTCTTTTGCTATTGATGATGATGAGGACCAGGAAGATCAATAAAATATGGAGACAGTGAACAAGACTTTGGCAGAAACAATCAATCACACAAAGCCATCAGCACAAGCTACAAAGCCACTTGTGGAGGAAACCATGTAGCGCACTTCTTTTTGAAGTTTGTGCTTATGATACTGTATAGAATAACAGTGAAAGCTCCGCGAACTGAATGGTTTACCATCCCGTTCAGAGAACACACCATCAAAATTGAGGAGTGTTTATTGTCCTTGGTGCTAACTTCAATAAGAAACAGTAGGCATGTAAAAACAGACATAACTGCGGCTTGGGGAATGTAAATGTCTTGGATCGAAGAAGCAAAATGAATATCAGTGAGTCGTTGAATGCTTAAGATTTAGGTCAATTAGCAACCAATATAGCTTTACACATTGCGAACGGTATTTTTTAATCAAGACAAAGAACCCTATCTCTGTGATTCACTAGTCTTATTTGGTTATAAAGTTAGTTAGATCATCCACTTACTTCTGCATCTTTGTGTATTCTACAATACAATTTTATCGGGCTATATCCAAGATGTGTCTTCAAAGTATCCGCTGAGTTTATTTACTATAACAGTTAGGTCGAGATTCATCTGTCAATATCTAGATGGTACCGTTAGTTTTTATATAGCAGGTGTGAACTGCAGTCTAGTGCATGAACCTGCAGGTAGCTAATGAGAAGCTTATGATTCCCTGTCATATGCAAAAAACAGACGTAGCAAATTAAGTTTTAGGCAGTTATTCTGGAGTATTCAATCAAGGCTGCTCCACGAAGAAGTTATTACTGATGAAAAGGAAAAAAAAGATGCTTTATATCACCCGTTAATGTGAGTTGAACTCACATATCTAACTATGCTCATGTTTTTAAAAATTAATTAATCAGTTTATGAGGTGACAAAATGACGGCTTTAGTCATTTAAACCAGGTCCAGTTTCAGTGTTTGGCTGCAGTAAACCACCTCAAAGAAAAAAAATCTTTTGTAGGTCAATCACTACTAACAAGTGAGATCATCAAACACTAGACAATGCTTTGCAGGAAACAGTAAGTGAACTTTATGTAAAGATTTCTGTCTATATAAATTTCCTGTAGTTCTAATGAGAAGTGATGACCTACACGAATTGACAAAATTAGGAAAATATGGACTGTTGGATTATAATCCAGTGGCTAAACAGTAATCTGCTCATCACAAAACCTGACGGTGCTGGATGCCAAGCTTAGTGGGGTTGTGGGTGCGCACTGTTCAACAGTTCGATATAACGATGAAACAGCTATTTAGAGCTTCTAGATTTTTAATGGCCATCCAAGTGATGTCAGTCTGTTATGAATGTCACCTTGAAATCAATTACTTCCCATAAACCCTCAATGGAAACATAAATTAAGATAAAATCTAGCGTATTTTCCTATAAATTATGAGTAGTATTTGAAATAATAAGAGAATAATTAGGAACAATGTAATATTATATAACTGGAATCATAAGTAAAGCAAAGAATTTGATCACATCATCAACATGAACATATATTTTAAAAAAACTTTAAAACTATCTTACATTGACAAAAGGAAAAATCAACTTCAATCGAGTCGACTTACGCATCTTGACGCCTGTATAATTTCGGATCGAAGTAGGCATAATCTTCAAATTCAGAACCACTTTTATTTTCCATTAGTTGTGATACAATTCGAGTAAACGGAAGGTACTTTAAATAGACAAGTGTTAAAATTCAATCAATTCATCTGCATAAAACTATACAATGAGTTCGAAAGTTGACGTATATTTAGTACTTGGGTTATAACAAATAAAATGTTGCTAGTCTGTATGAACTAACTAACCAACTTTTTTAGTAACACATGAATGCTGTTGTTATTCATGTATTATGAATCTGATTTTTAACATACACGTCTACTGAGAAACCTATAACAGTTGTCATTTCGTAGAAAAAAATCTACTCCATAGATTCCACAGAGTATGTCAGGTATACTGCGACAGCTAGTTTCTCAACAGTAGTCATGTTAATAAGTTTATGAGAAACATGTTTGAGTGATTTCATTTTTCTGTCACCATTTTTTCGCAAGCCACATATGTACATTAGTTCACAGACATTTTGAACTGTCAAAAGAATTGATCACCTGAATACTGAAGATAAAGCTAAAATTCAATCAGTTTTTCTGAACGGTATACAAGGAATTGACAAAAAGTTTCGACATGGAAAGAAACTATTCCCTCCCCATAATCTGACAATATCATAATGAAGGCTACTTTCCAATAATCTAAGTACTTGATAGGTAGGAAACATAGGGAAATACCTGGTAAACAACTTAATAAACAGTGAATTATACAGGAGACTTACCGATTTCTGACCAATTAAGTGTCTCATTCCAGTAAGTAGTATAGCTGAACCATGAGAGACAAGTTTATTGAGAACACTACGACTTCCAGCCCCTTTAATATTCTCCATCACATTATCAGCTAGTTGACCAGCTTTTGGAATTCGTCTGTTTACAGTATAGGGGAAAATATTTTGATAAAATGAGAAGCATTCACAAATCAATAAAAAAGATAACAAAAGGTATCTTAGATCACCACCGAATGAAAATGCTATCATAGTAAGTAAGAGATTCACTTTAGGTTAGCTTTTTGAAATCATACTAAGCATGAGTGGTTTTGGCTGTGTCACTGCTGCTAAACGACTCATAAGAACCTTAATAAAGAATATACTTACTTCCTTTATCAAGCAAAACCATCAGGATACAACGCTCATATTGAACACCGTGGAAAAAATCGGAATTTTACCATTTAAGTAGGACTTAAGTTAGGACTAGTAACATTCTGTTTACGTAAATAAAAGAACAATTGACAAATTCAATGAACAAGAATGCACGATGTGGCATGTTTAGTGTCACGAGCTGCTGAGAATGCACTTCAGTTTGACCGAATGCTGACCGATAGATGAGTCAAAAATGATAAGATGACACTCAAATGACTGACGGAGGAGTAAAAACGCGAGTGATGATTACCGCTGAAAATCCAAATGAGCGATAGACAGACAAAATCAACGTAGAATCTCGCACAGAAGTCGAATCGTTCAAGCTGCCACACTTCACAGCACCAGAACAGGTGGTAAAGAAAGATATCAAATTAGATAAAGGTGTGTGGGAGAACGAATTCGAAAATCAAGATTAGTGAAAATGTTCAAAAACTTTAGAAGACGTCAAAGACTGAATATAAATCTGGGCCACTGTGATCGGTTTTCGGTTATATCAGCAAGGATTTCCAACCATTAATTCCTATCCTCCTCCAACCAAACAGTCTACACCTCCATACACGGCTCAGGTAAACAGTCAAGGACTTTGTGGACTAATGCAACGTCTCAGTTTGGCAACCCTGAGCCTTCTTACAGTCCAACCCTAATTCGGCCAACACTGGATGTTAAGGTAGGTGATGGCTTGGCTATGTGCGACATGTACCTAAGACATCTCAGCTTTCAATAATGAAGACTGAGAAACTGATCAGTTACGAATCCCACCTTATACCGGATAAGAAAAAGTTGTTATTTGTGTCCAAAAAGTGCAGTTGAGGTAAAAACAACCATGGAATACCCATAAAATGGTAAATAGTTGGTCAAGAATAAAAAGGAAGATCATAAGAGTCAGGAAGTGACTACTATTAAATAGAACGGCAGAAAGTATCAAAAAATAGTACGAAATTTGACTACGGATAGATGAACTACGTTCAGAATAAAAAAATCAATTTTGCAAGTAGCCAACATCAAAGACTTTAACGTTTGTAACCGAATCGTTAAAAAATTGATTCCTGAGCAATAGTCTTTGTATTTTGGTAGTACAAGAAAATGTTCAAAAATCCTTATACTTGTCTCGATGAAATTACTATCTAAAGTGAAACTTTTGAAGGCGTAACCTTCAAAAAAGTTTGCAAATAACGCAGCTGCTTAACAACTACTGAATACAGTCCCCCCAAAGACAAAAAATAATTCAACGAAAAAAACCTTCAACAATATCATTTACTAAAGATGTACAGTCGCATTTATAACTATTGGAAGCAATAACAGTATTTCATAAACTTCAGGACCAAAATTTGAATTTGAATTTGGATTATCAAAGAAATATATTTTCAAAATCCCAATGAAGTAGGAAGTAGTTTTCTGAGGATCAAGTGAATATTATGATATTCAGCAGTGGAGTTCTATTTTGTTCGACTGTATTTTGATTAGCGGGTAGACAGGTAGTTTCAGTGGCTAGTCGGATTATTCTACTCCGTTAATGAGAAGACATAATCCAATATGTTAAAAAGAAAGTGTATGCATGCTGACAATTCTAATGTCGTATATTTTATCAGTGAATACAAAAAACATGCTGATTTAGCACCTACCGAAAATGTTGTACATAATTAACCGGACTGATATCTAAATCTGGATAAGCGCTTTGTAGAACTGTTTTTAAACGGTCAATTTCTCCATCTGACAGACAGAAATCAACACCAGTAGAATTTGTGCTCAAGTTGTTCAATCCAGTTGTAGATCCACTAACAATATTACTTCCCGTATTTGTGTTTGTACCAATTCGACTAGTTCCAGCTAAAGCAGCAATAATTAGTAGACGCAGTTTATCTTCAGGTGTACCAATTGATGGATTACTGATCAACTCGTTTAAACTTTGTTCCTTTTGTATACAGTTGAGTAGAAAAAAATATCATTAACAGTTAACAGATAATTCATATACTTACAGAGAGAAAAGAACAAAAACAAACAAAATAAAACTTGAAAAAAAAGAATAATGGCGACAATGGTAACAACACGTAAAGTATTTATGGAGCGCGCAAGAATTTCGATATTACCTATCAGTGAACGAAAATTAATTTTAGGGCATCTAATCCAAAATATATCCATATGATATAATACTGATTTACGCTAATCTGTTATAGTGAGCTTGTAAAGACTTTTATTTTGAACTCTGGAATATATGAATATAATATTTAATACTAGTGGTCTTACATGACAGAAGTTATTCGAAAATTATGAAACCCACTTAACTCTCACTCTAACCAATTGTAAGGTAGTTGGAAGACATTTTTAGTGCAAATGCTAAAGGTTGGCTAAATCATGCAACTAAAACAATATGACCACAGAGGAAAATGAGAAAGACAATAACCCACTCACCAAAATTCCATTTCATTTCAACCTTTCATATACTGGTCATTGAAATTGAAATGCACTTAGCAACCATGTGAACGTTTTCGTACTAAACAATGAGACACACCTATTATGTGAGGGTTACTTTATTATTGCTCAAGCCACACTAGGTGGAGCGAGGTTAGAACCCATGGCTGCAAGTTAAGCGGCAGAACCAAAGAGCCCTTTTAGTTGCCAAACCATTTAAAAAGAAAGACAGAAAATCACCACCGCCACCACCATCACATTCTTCACCTATCATCTTAATATTGACAAATTTGAAAAGAAACAACGATATCCTTACAGTCCCTAAATTCCATTCCACTTTGAAAATGCATTTAACTCAAACTTGACCTGTTTTTACGCTGTACAATTGTAAAACCTATAGAGAACTTATGGAAAAGAAAATTTTCCGTTCAGATACTTTTTAATTAAAATGAAAAGGCCCAGGAAGAAACATGCACACAAAGTTAGGATAATTTGGTGTTTAGGCTGAAGAGAAAATTCATCTGCCACACGGATATTTATTCTAAACAAAGTATTCTATTGTAAATCAATACATTAATACTATAATAGAGACTTTACTCAAAAATTCTAGTTTCAGAAGTTGTAGTAAAAGCATAGGCGAAGAGTTTACGAGAAAGTTAAACTCAGTCTTCGCACAATGTGAAAATCTTACATTAAGCAGAGTTTATGCAAATAGCCTTTGTATTTAACATTCGAGATGAGTTGATAATCAGTCTCTGTTATTTCTTCCCTTGTATTTCATCTTTTATTCTTCACAACCTCTACCGATCGGATGATAACTCCAACTGGTTTTTCTTGCTATCTTCTACTTACATGTGTTTGTACAAAGAGCATACACCCCAATAAGACATAGACTGACAGACAGTCATCATATTCTGCCTATCTAGATGTCCCCTCATATAGCAATCTAGCAGTGATAACCAGTTTCTCTATTTTAATTCAAACATATTAAAAATGTACTCTTGAAAGTTTATCATTTTTTCTTTTAATTTCCAAGAACTAACCTCTCTATCCGATATTCCTGTTCTGTGTAGACTTTGACAAACTGGAGGGTTTTTTGAATGCATATAGTGATATTGTAACAGTTTTTGAGATACGTTTCTTACTTACGGTATACAGTGTTAATCATTTCGTTTATGATAACTTTCACTATTCCATTTGTCTACTTCTTCTGGTTTAATTATCACCTTTCATTATGTCATTTTTATTTGTTTACTTCAGCTGCTTAGGTTCTCCCTTCTCAATAATCTGAACGAGTACGCAATTATATTCCCGTTCAAGTTATAACTAATTAATATGTAATCTGTAACACTAGATAACCCGAACTTCTGTACCCTAACTAAGACACTATTTATACCATCTCGGAAAATGAAGACAGGTGACCTGTCAAGATCGGTTACTTTATTATACTTGAGGTTTGCTGTAGTTGTTGTAACTCCAATCGCTAAACGCTTATATAGGTTTTGAGTAGGAAAATATCTTCTTGATGTAATTAAGAAAGTATGAAACTTCCCCTAAAAATTTAAGTTTGAAATGCAATATTCGAGAGAGCAGATACAAAAAGTAATCAACAAAACATACTGTGGATGGATTATTCTTAGCAAATAAGTGATCTTCTTCTTCAGCAAATGAATGTATTTGTCTATCTTTGATAACATTAGCCAAAGAAGTTGCGATATTGGTATGCATATCAAGACATCGTTTACGCTCCATTAATTGAGGTAAAGAGCTAATAAAACCAAAGTAAGAGGTCAGAAAAAATTTAAGGAAACAAATAATGTGGAAAAATGAATCCTCGAAAAGAGAATAACTCATGTACTCAGTGTAACATGTTTTAATAAACCGAATTGTATTGTAAATAAATTATTATTTTCACAACTAGGGTAGAAAAACCAAATTGAAATGCACTCAACAACCTTGTGCATACTCGAGCAGTAGGCAGTGAGCCGGTCGTTTTGTGTGAGGGCTAGTGATACTATCACGTTGCCAAACCTCGATAAGTGGAACGAGATTTGAACCCATGATCGATTGTTTGAAAGTCATCTCCCTAAATCAATGAAACATGGTGTTGCTCGAACAATAATCTCAACAAAAAGTGTCCTTCAATCTGAATATTAAAATCTAGACCTTACACGTAGAAATCGAATTGTTTATTACATATTGACCCTTGAATAACCTGACAATGATTGTCAAGTCCTTTCATTACCTAAACATGTTTTGCATATTTTAAGCAAACCAAGTTATCTACTTTGGTAATCATAAAATTGATAGCGTGTTGGAATCCGATTACTGTTAAACTAGAGTATGTTAGTCACATAACCTATTAAATTAATACCAAATAAGAGTTTAGCAAGACTAATAAGTAGGTCAATTAAATGGAAATGCAACTCATGAACTATGTGAATATTTGTGCACTAGACAATAAGCTACACTTACTGCGTGGAAGATAGCGATAACAATTGCTTACTAAGATCTTGGTAGGGGAAGCTATTTTCGAAACTATACCGTATTGGTTAAAACTAGATTGTACAGATGGATGAGCCATAGGATAATAGTTGAAAGTATTATCAGTTAGACAAGGTTGAAGTTAATTAGTATACCAAAGATAAACAATTTAGTTTAAACGATTCAAACATGAATGCATAAAAGTGATAATATGTCCGATCGTACAAAACTGTAAGTGCTCAATACATAGTGATCGAAGGGGAATTAATTTATTTTATATGGTACCGTCATCCTAAACATCTCGGTCAACATCAAAATTTATGTCTTCTTCAAGTGAGCGAGAGTGACAGTTGTTTGCAAGTCACTGATGAGACGTGGGAAATGATTTAAGGTTTGTAAGATAGTGGTGTTAAATTTTGCCTGTGAAAGTTAACAATATCCACCACCTTCAATTATTTCCATTCTAATGGGTATTGAAGAAACACAATGCATTTTAAAATGATGGAAAAGATTTGTAGACCAGGATGAGGACGATTTAGTGTTATCTGAACTTTGATATTTTATCAAAGCTAAGAGAACATCAAATCACCAACGAAAATAAAGCAAATAAACTACCAAGTGATTATATCAGCAACATCAAATACTAAGGAGCATATGCATTAGAATAAGTGATCAACGATAAAAAGGAGGTACTAACAGGAAGATTTATGCCCTAAAATATTCAGTCAGCATTGAAAAAAAACTAGATCAATCCAACCTAAAAAATGAAACTTACTTAATAGCATTCGTCAATTTAGTGGTATTATCATCCAGGAAAGTCATTGTAGACGAAGAAGCTAGTATATCTATGTCAGTTGAACCACCCAATGATGACTTTAACTCATTCATACGTCTATCATAATCCTTTAGAATAGTAACTTCTTCATGTATTGCTTCTGCAACATCAGAAAATGCAGCGCTTCTAAAATCCCTCCATAAACGATCACCTGATCCAGTTAAATCGTATTCAACTACTTTAGACTTTTTGATACTCCGATCGGAAATCTTAGATTTTTCATCCTCTGAAATAGGCTTGGTCAAATCCAAATTCACATGAACACGATTGAGACGAATATTCTTGATTTAAAATCAACAAAAAGATGAAAGAAAAAGAAAATGTACTGAAAAAGGTCTTATGGAAAAGTTTATTGATACAAAAAATACGTCAAATGAAGTTATTGCACAATAACCATCGGCTCATTATTGTTTCAAACCAACAATATGAATAGATAGAGCTAAATGATTCTATTAATTTACCTTAACTTTGCCGATAGTATTGTAGAAACAGCTCCAAAAGAAGACATGAACTTGTGTAAACAGACATCAATTTGCTGTCAAATGGCTACTAACCAACCCATCAGGGTCTACAACGTAGTCGTAAAGCCATTTTACAAGATTAACAAGAGAATGAATCTGCTCTGTTTCCTCGTGTTGTGAGTCTATGAAAACGGTTGAGAGCTTTGATTATCTGATAAGTGCGTTGTTGATTTTAGCGTGGTTAACGAAACTAATCACTTGATAATAGAACACAGAATGACATACGTTAATCTGTGTCACTTACACGGCTATTGTAACGTTCGTCCAACTTTAGTCCATTCAATTACACTCAGAGTTAAAAAAAAAACATGATTAATTAATGACTACAATTTTTGAAAATTATGCTTTATCATTGTTACTTTCGTAGCATTAGTCACATTTGATAGAAATACGCAAAAATATGATCTGACTAATCTTCAACATCACATAAGTTGTTGTTCGAAAGGTGATGTCAACTTCGAACGTCAAATTTGGTAGCCCGGACAAGTTTCATGTCATTTTAGAGGCACTTATAACGAACATTCTGAATTGGGAAAAGATTGGTTATAACTACTTTATGACCCCATGCAGAAAAATAACATTCAATTTTGTTGCTTAATTATCTTTTGGTACACCACGACCGCCTTAGTGGAGTTGTAACAAAAGGGAGGTTTGACAAACAGATGACGTAACAACTAGTAATCCGAGAAAACTATTTTTAAATCACTGAACTTCCCACAAACCACTCAGTCGAACAATGATTTGCTGAAACTGTGCCAGGTCTTACGTCAATGTTTCGCTTCTATGTTCGCTAAACAACAGTATAATAACATTATAATAACCACAACTCACAAAAACATCGTGGATTAAGCTTTGATAGGATAATTCATGATGAAGTGGTGAAGCTAGATCCAAACTACGATCCAGAAGAATCAACAGAGGACGTTGAAATAAGTTTGAAGGTGAGTTTATTTGAGGATTTCTGTTAGATGAATTCAATCCTAGACGGTCACCAGAAGAGTCATCGTTTACACTGACACCATAACTACGTGCTGCATTGCTCATGAAAAGTGAATTTCGAGAATCTCGTAGACTGTCTCGAAATTTTGAGTCCAAGTGAGATGCTACCATTTCTGAAGCATTTCCACGCGGACAACGTATAATAGGTATTGTTCCAAGTGTCGCAAAAACTGAAAATAACCCATCAACAACTGAATGAATGACGTTTTCCACATCAGCTTCAGTAGCTTTTGAACGATTTAAAGCTAAAAGAAAAAGTGAAAAAAGGGAGGAATAGCCGAAAAATGAATATCTGTGAAATCTGATGAAGTTTCAGCGTACATAAATGTGTTTATATGTCACACGTAGACTGAAAACTAACAACAATAACTACATAAAAAACATACAGGTTTACTTTTGCAACCATTATTCAGTAATAAAATTAATTTATAGATACCAATCAATTCGCCTGTTTTACCTGAAGTGTCGTTGAAAATGATCGCCACACGTTAGTAGTAAGAGAGTTTAAATAGAATAAATTGTCACATTTGATTCCTAGACTACTCATTTGATTGATGGTATTACAATTCAACTTTGGTACACCTTCCTTTCTATGCGAATGAATTTTGAATTATAGCTGCAAACATTTGTTATGACATTTGCTCTAGTAAATAACATTTAAATTGTTGCTCACATAGCTATTTTTTCACTCGTATCTGAGACAAATTACTTTGTACGTCTAGTGAAAAGAAGCAACCGTCAGGTGAGATCATATAAACTGTACAGCTGAAGTATCCTGCAAATAACATATGCTTCTTTCAATCAGTATGTTTGCCTTTAAAAAGCTGTATTCGCAATGTTCAACCAACAGAGCAAGCGAGCTATGGCATACTTGAAATTTTATTATAAATATTAAAACTTGGACCCAACGAACTGAAGATGATTGTATTGATAAGTGAACGAGGCTGCCTTTATTCCAACACATCACGAGGTCTGCTGAAGACAACTGAATGTTCTACATGATAACTAAATGAAACGTCAAAATGAAGTTTTGTATCATTTCCAGACTTGATAAAAATCCTATAAATTCCTCTTTCCTGAACGGAGTTATAAGCCAATGGTCAAGGGAACTGAGTTTTAATTAGATACGAGTGAGGACCATACGCTACAAAATTTAATTTTACAAAAACATGTAGGGTGGTTTATCTTTTCGAGAACTCTGAGTTCAGTGAATTAACCTGAGTTGTTTTTAATTTGAATGCTTTGTATCCAGAGTTCAGCCTTATTATTCAAGAGACTCGAAGAAATACAAACCATTGTGCATCCAATGATCATAATAATGTTGAAGTTAGTGCATTGCCCACTTTTCACCCATATTTACGATATAGACCAATTCAGCAAATTTATTTGTTTTATTAAAGACAAACGTGGTAAAACATGGACACGAAAAAATGTGCCATGTGAAATAAAACAGTATGCAATATACAACACTATCTGCGTGCCATCTAATACCTATCGAGATTAAAAGTAAAAACATCGAAAACATACCATATGGAATGATAAATAGACAATGGAGTCTTGCACAGAAATGCAATGCTTCAAGTTACCACACTTTGCGACACCATGCAAAAGACAAGTGAGTCGACAAAGAGTGATATCAAAAATAATCAAAATCATGGTTAGTTAAGATTTTGAAAAAACTTAAGAAGACACCAAAGAGTGAATAAATATGACGATAGCGGCTACCTTGACATGGTGGTCGAGCTTATAGATCACGATGACCCAACGAGATATGTTGGTGTAACGCTTGTTCCCCTGAGGTCTTACCATATCAGAAAGGTCTGTTGAATAGTGGTTAGAAAAAAGCATGTACCCTTACCCTTAACATCTTTTTCTAAAACAAAATAATGCATTGTGATTGCTTAGATCAGTCATCAGTGATTAGTGGTAATCCAAAACCACTGTACGAATATCTGACCACATCTTCCATAATACGGGCCAATTTTCGTGGCAAAGGTCGTAAGTGACCGGTCTCAAGCAGATGTCTCCTTGGCTCTGCGGTCACGCACTAACCCTTCTTTTTTAGACACCTCAAGAAGACCTAACCTTCCATGGTGTGGGCAGCCGGAAGTGTCAACCACCATCACAACTCTGTTAGCACTTGACCACTATCCAACTCATACTTACCTTCTTATCTCCCTTCACGTCTCTCAGGTAACAATCCTCCATTGGTTTGAGTGTGTATACATCCGCGTCTCAATGGACGTAGAAAAACTAGCAACAAGACTCTCACAAGTGCAGCTTGACATTGAGAACAATAAGGCTGCTTTCAGTGAGGAACTGGCTTGGTAGTCATGTACTCAAATACCACTGAGTCAGTAGAATTTTATCTGGTTGAGTCGAGACTACCCCATACAGAATACTATATTCGTTGATTAAAGTTATTTGTACTTTAAATGTGGTATTCACTTTGTCTACCACAGTGATAACTATATATGGACCGTATGGTTGTACACTGATCTCGCACCTCCAGTTAAGGTAAATCAAGAGCCATCTCTTCTGCAGTGTTGGTTAGTCTCAACAGACAGTAAGAGTTATCAAGCATTCTTTGTAAGACTAGACTATCGTTGAAGTAAAGTAAGAATTACTAGAAGACACAACAACTAATCAGTAAACCACGTATTGCGATTGCACCTCCGCTTACCTTACATCAGAGAAGCATAATATGTTATTCGAAAGTATGCAGCCTACATAGCGATGAAACATACGACTACTCACGATACTAAACTTAGTTTTTTCCCCGAACCTTAATCATGAAACGCATATTCACTGAGTCCAGAAATGACTGATAGTTTGTCAAGTTCACATACAAGCAGTGCATAACATGGAATGTAGAATATATATAAACTCACCATAAAAGGAAGATGGGTCATCACTCGATGCATTGAGAGTTAACAAATCGTCCTCCAAACATATAAAATTAGTATACTGATCAAAAACTTTTGCAATCTGATGAACACAGTTTTCAGACAACGCTGTTTGAGCTATCTCTTCTAAGCATTCTCGTGATATTGGACTGATAAAATTCAAGTAATACGAATCATATCTACCTGCTTCAAAATCCTTTAGTCTGAGTGTAAGATTTTGATGATAAATTTGAAGCTAACCTTGCATATACTGTGAATATTATCTTTGGAAGGATAGACAAAATATACAGCTGGAACGTCAGGAATTTGTTCACGAGAGGAGTTCAACATTCTGATAAGAAAAACAGCATGTTTATAAAGACTAAATAGGGTGGCTTACAAATGTAGGGTGACACCAAGCATACGTAAATCTTTGACCGTCAGCAAGGGGGAAATGATATCTCTTCCCAATTGATCGTATATCAAAATCTACAAGAATTAGGAGAAACGAAAATAAAGAATATTATCTACCTTCCATTGTGGACCATCCGAACAGTTTGGTGTTGTGTTCAAATTGAGCATACATTTCAGGGCTTCTACAAAAGCAAAAAAATAATTACACTCTGTTTAAATTCCGAGCTTTTTTAAACAGCAGGAATATTTGCTGAGCCGAAATTTTTGTAGGACTTTAAAACAATTGACAAAAGTAGGCAAAAAGTCTAGATGAAGCACCAGTGTTGTGCAATTGTATACAGAAGTAAAGGTATGTGGACTTCATCTACAACCAGACCACGTCAACTCATCTATCAAGCAAATTGAGTATTCTTCGAGGAATTGGTTAAGTTTAAAAAGATTTAAATAGATCTCATGGAAATTTGTTGCTTGTCACACCTTTAGTATCCCCTAGATTTCACTGAGTTTTACTACTCATTCGTTATCTAAATGTCTATTATTAGCTTTTTTCGAGCTAAGGATCATTAGATTAAGCAATCTACCGTGCACCATAGTCTCGAACATCAATCCATTCAGATAGTACCACAGTTCTCACACAAATGGTTTCTTCACGCTTAATGAATGAGCTTGTATTTGCTTGACGACTTGAGTGGTCAATATCAATACATTAATGATTCCCAAAACACTGATTCTTATTGCTTCGTTGATCTAAGCCAGATAGTCTACAACTCAGACCAACAATCAAAGACTTCATCGACTGGTGCTACATCTTGGTCTGGCCACCCAGAACCCTACTCCAACCTAATCCAACTTATACTAACATGGCATGTGGAAGAAGGCAGTGGTTCGGCATGCCAAATACATTTCCAAGCTAGCTCAATCGACCAAGGTTCATAACCTAGTCAATCGACTTGCATGTCTTGTCTAATATCCTTTGCCTGACCTCAACATTGTTCACACGATGATTTAAACAAATGCAGGCAACGTTTTGAAGACATCTATGATCAAAACCCTACAACCACTTCATGTCTACTTTTAACGGCCGTGTCTCACAGACACAACAGGACAGAACGGACTGCAGAGAAGTATACTCGTCCTTAGATAGATAGTCGGATATCTGACCGATGCCACAGGCGACGTATGTTAGAAAATCCCAAACTGGCCTTCTGAATCTGAACTGAGATTTTGTCAGCAGCCAGCCCGTTCGAGCCCGTGCAACTCCCCAAATAAGTGAAGTGGCGGGATGTGTCGACCACTTCACTGCCTATCATTAAACTGGGAGTACTTGCAGCAGACCAGTCCCGGAGCATCATCTTACATTTGACAGATGCGAAACGCACGCCAAACATACTCAGATTTCTGCCCAAGTCATTTTGTTAGCGTCTTCACCTGGCATGAAAATATAGTTTGAGCACTCCAGATCGACCGGACGACCTCCAGGCAGTAGGTCAATCCCTATGAAGTCAGATGTACCAAAGTTTATATCCATTAGTACGTCTATGACGAAGTTGAACGGTGACTGGGCATTCCTGGCAGACACCACTACTCGTCTTCAGTTCATATGAAAACTCTCTGTAATCCCTTACACGAATGCGTACGTCCGACTAGAGAGCTTTGGTTACCGCCATATACTTGCTCGGTACTCTCTTCACAGTCAGACACTGCTACATCACATCACGGTCGACCTGGTCAAGTGACACCTTCATGCCGACAAATATGGCAAGAGTTAGCCGCCGTTAGGTATGCCTGTCGGAGGGTAAAAATGTGACCGATGAACCCTCGACCAGGTCTGAAACCTGTCTGGTTTTCTCGGGTTTGCTGTTCTCGAGCTCCAGTTAGGCGCCACATAACTGTGGACCCCAGGTTCTCGGACATAATATTAGTCAAGTTAGTTCCCCATGTGGTCGTCACAGGAAGCCTTCTCTCCCTTCTTATAAACTGGGATGATAAGTGAACTAGACCAGTCTGACAGGACTACCTTTGATTCCAATACACTAACTAGTACTTCCGTTACTCTGCTCAGCAGTTTCTTACCTCGATCCTTTCGAAATTCTCAGTGGCAAACTGTCAGGTTCTGCTGCTTTGCATTGTTTCAGGTTCGATACAGCTTTCTCAACTTCAATGAGAGTTGGAGTACTGAAATCTATGTCCCATTCAGGTTTAAGCTGAATTATAGGCAACTGAAGCGTTGATGAAGGCCAGTTGAAATGTGATCCAAAGTGTTCTGCCCACGTTCTAGCCACCTGTTATCAGCCTCCCATCCTTTTCGGTGATGGTTGCACTCACCATCGTCTCCTTCCCAGTATCCTTAATAAGCCAAGATAGTTCCTGAATGTCACCCGGCGCTCATGCCTTCTACATGGGAATCCTACAAATACCTCTCAGATGCCTTTCCGATTGGCTCAGCTCAGTTTTCCTACTTGAGCGTTAAAATCACCAGCCATTATGACTACATCTGAACGTTTTGCCTTCTGTAGCAGAGTTGTCAGCTTCTCACAGAATTCATGCTTTGCATCATTCGAACTAGTCGGTGGTGCGCAAACGGAGTTTACGGATAGGTATCAGATGGCCATAAGATCCTTCCTAGTCCTTACAGACCCATTCAGTAGAACAGCGACATAGATGGCTGTTTGCTGGAAACCAGTCGAGGAGAGCACTCCCTGCTCTATGACTCAATGGTATGCCTATACCAGAAAGTCCACGAGAACTGGCCATTGCGTCAGCGGATAATCTTAAAGTGAATTTCGAAGATTCACTGCAATGACTTGATGGGGTCAAGTGATGCGAAACCACACTCAGGTACTGTATGTGTGTCTCAGAGACACAGCATACACCCATAGCTCGAGACTCCACAGATTTGGTGTTTGAGTTGGCATAGAGTTCAAACGTAGAAAGCTCCTACATGAAATCGATGACATGTGGGATTTTTGAAAGACTGGGAATGAGGTTTAGATGGCTTTGATCGTTGACAATGTTCGCAGAGTGAGAGGTTGAAGTTATGAGAGGCTTAATATTAGTATCAGGAAGTGAGGGTAAAGAAGACAGATGTAGTGGGGAAAGTTTATGTATGATTGGACCTTGTATATTACTGGTAACGTGAGAGCGGTTCGCGCTGTCCGCCTGCCCACACCATGGAAGGTTAGGTCTTCTTGAGGTGTCTAAAAAAGAAGGGTTAGTGCGTGACCGCAGAGCCAAGGAGACATCTGCTTGAGACCGGTCACTTACGACCTTTGCCACGAAAATTGGCCCGTATTATGGAAGATGTGGTCAGATATTCGTACAGTGGTTTTGGATTACCACTAATCACTGATGACTGATCTAAGCAATCACAATGCATTATTTTGTTTTAGAAAAAGATGTTAAGGGTAAGGGTACATGCTTTTTTCTAACCACTATTCAACAGACCTTTCTGATATGGTAAGACCTCAGGGGAACAAGCGTTACACCAACATATCTCGTTGGGTCATCGTGATCTATAAGCTCGACCACCATGTCAAGGTAGGAGCTATCGGTAAGGTAAATACTCAATCTGAAGTGAAATCTCACATTGTTTGAAGGAAAGTCATGTGGCATTTTGTAGAAAGATAAAAGTAGAAATGGGACTATTTGAAAATTGCTTTTGTTCATTTTGCTGTCCTTTGGTTTTATTTCTTTTAACGTGCTTTTGCGAAGTATGGCAAGTTGAAGCAATGCAGTTTTTATTTGTTGCGTTTGTCTAGCAGCATAGGTAATATTTAGTGTCAGTCACTAAGTGGTTAAAGTGTTAGCCGAACAAATGCTAAAAGACGTTCATCTGAGACGTAGTTCCTCAAATCACAATAAATTTACGACCAAAAGGTAGAAAGTATTTGACCGAGTGACTACATAAATTTAGTACCGAATACCCTCTTAATTAGTAATAAGTGGATTATACTGATCTATTTCCATTTCTTAAAAAACAGCAATTGTAGTTAATGAAAACGTTAGCGTTGTCAACATAAAAGTGAAAGGAAAAGACCTTGTATCACTGTAGAGTGGTTCAGGTTGACAATTCACACTATCTTAAAACAGAATTAAATGCTGTGAAAACTAATTTGCTTGATTCAACCAGTCAATTGATCCCACGTTCAGAACTGTATATCAAGCATGAACTTCAAAAATGTTGCTCGCATAAATTCACTAGAAGTCTCATTTACATTATAGCTAAAAATAATTATGTCAGATAAGGCTTTAAAAACGGATAACCCAAAACATTATGAGAGATAAGTGTACCGAAGGTTCACAATAATAAACAGTAACCTTTAGTAAGGAATTTTAACACAATAGTGATGCCATTGACCAATAGCCGTGAACACTCAACACTGAAGAATTTAGGTGTTGTTCGTCTTCTTACCTTTTAGGATCGATTAGCGAAAACATATTCGCCCTAAAGTGCTCAAACCTAGTTCGAAGCAATTTCTAACAGTGTAACAAAGATTCTTTCAAGGTGATCAACGGCTAGAACTCGTCAACACAACATGGAGTATCAGTCGCTTCAGTGCATATGTCTAAAGAGAAAGTTACTTTCTATAGAAATAAGTGCAGCCATGTTAAGTAGAAGATAGCTAACTTACTATCTTACCACTGAAAATATTACTGAGTTCACGAGGTAAAACTAGACACGAAACCTCAATGCTTTCAGTTGTTCACGAGGAGAGAAACAAATGACATGTGACAGAAACCATGAAAAAGTAGACTGAGGATCAAGCAGAAAAATGGCACTAAAAGGTATGACATTTTATCAAATGATTCTACTTTCATAAGTTGGACACGCAGTTGTCATCGGGATGAATGGTGGTGTGCTAAGGTCGAGCGAAAATCTCGAAAGAATACTGGTAGGAAATGCCACTTTTTAGGTCCTTCTTGTAAAAAAGTTCCTGTCTCCCGACATCAAAACATAAAAAGTAAAGAACTTGCCGACTTGGCGTATTTTTATAGTTGCCGCCATGCTATAATGTACAACGCAGACGGTGAAGGTAGTAAAGATACTTTTTCAACATCTTTTTACAAGAATATATCTTATAGCAATACTCAGAAAGCTTTGTTGATTTGCATTGAAATTTTCCGCCTGGCGGTATTTTTGAATCTTGCGATATCCAATAGAAGTCCGAATGTGATGGGGACCAATATACAAACAATCAAGTGTGTTGTAGTTGGAGATGGAGCAGTCGGAAAAACGTGTTTGCTCATATCTTATACAACTAACAAATTTCCAACTGAATATGTTCCCACTGTATGTTCTGTTTTTCCGGTATAACATGTTTAGGTTTTCGACAATTACGCTGTCACAGTGATGATTGGTGGCGAACCATACACTTTGGGGCTTTTTGATACAGCCGGTCAAGAAGACTACGATCGCTTGAGACCTTTAAGTTATCCTCAGACAGACATTTTTCTGGTTTGCTTCTCTGTTGTCAACCCTTCATCCTTTGAGAACGTTAGAGAGAAAGTAAGTTGTTTCTTTAGGTATTTATTGACAGTACGTGATTAACCTTTGTGCTACCACCCTGCTTCTCTCTTCCGTGTCATGATTCTTTTAAGGTTTATCAGTATGCAGGGTGATTATAAATCACTTGAAAATTCAGTAATGCCCCATTACCATTCACTACGGCGCCAAATATCAAGATGTTTTTGTCAAACCCAATCTGCTTTTGGAATAAACAATAACTTTTTTGACAATTCCTCAGTGTGAATAGGTTTAATTGAGATGAAGTGCAAAGTCTTCTGTGCACTCGTGTATTCATTTGCTAGCAATGAACTGGACGGTATTTGACAATCTACAGCTCATAGCTTACAACGAGTAAAGAATCATTCTCTGATATCAGGTGAAGAGGCTGACAAACAACTTTGCAGATAAAAATATTTTTAAGACACAAACATGTTCCAGAGCAAGAAAGCTGATTACTTTGCTTCCACGCTTGCAGCAATAAGTGCTCCTTAGGGTTGTTGACGGTATAGAAGCGTCCGCTTAACTGGCTTCCGCGTCTAGAATCTGTGGGTCACTCTAATTTGTGGTTGCTAACCTGTGTACAAGCAAAGAGAGCAAAAAGTGGAATTAAATGTGAAAATTTAGTTAGTTCCGAACAGATCACACCCACATCTAAAATAAAGCCGGCGTTTGAAGGATTCAGACGAAGTAGCCTGGATCACGTCTGCAGGAAAAGCATCCCTGGGTTTGAAAATCCTTCGGGAATCGCAGATGTACCTGATATGCACCTGCTACATTCCAGGCTTAGTTTCTGTATGTATCCTCTATGGTTAGTGCTACAGCTAAGATTCAGTAAGTGACGGAGTGGGTGTCCGTAGGGCTCAGGATGTTGTGAACCACTGTCAAGTCCCCTCTCAGTCTTCTATATTCCAGAGGACATAAATCCAGCCCAACCAGTCATTCTTAATATGTTTTAGACCTAAGTTCTTGAACAGATTTGTTCGACCGTTTCTGGATGCGTTTTAAGCGTAATTTGTCGTACAGAGGAGAAAAGACAAAGGTCCCGAACTCCAGTTGAGGCCAAGTGCTGTTGAAAAATTGATGAAAACATCTACGATCGACTTATCTAATATTCGTTTAGGGGTTACTAACGCCAATCGGCAAAATCTTTGGGCGCACTTTCTGCAAAAAACGGTAGGAAAACTTTGAGCTTACTGCAGACAATACATCCTAGTTCACGAGATCTTCAAAATTGCCAAGGTTGTCTAAGTGTCTGCACTACACCCAAAATTTCACAAATAAGGCACTATGACAGGCAGTAAGCAGTATATTTAAATAGAGTTTGCATGTGTGGATGCATGGTCGTAGTATACGAGATCTGTAACTGTTTATTAACTTCCTTAAGACTGTAATTTTGCGAAACATAATTCATTTTGCAAACATGCCCAAAAGCTCAAAACCACGCACGAAGTTGATTTCGGGAATTACCTAAAATGTAAAAGTCAACCTAAAGTGTTTATCAACTAGTAAGTCTCCGCGGAATGCGTTTCTGTCACAGTTGGCAAAGTGTTTTAAGTCTTGAGAAACTAAAATGCCGAAATTATTCGCCAGCGATGCATCACGTTTCACGTGTAACACCGTGCATTTTTCAGGATTAAGTGCAAGCCCATTATTGACTGCCCAGTTTCGATGTTAAGTCTTCCTGTAGAGAAACACTGTCTTCCTCATTTTTGAATTCTCTCCATAGTTTAACGTCACTGGCAAAATGAAAGATTTAAGAAGCCTGTTGAGACAAGTCGTTTATATACAGTAGAAAATGAAAAAAATTTAGCACTAAACCTTGGGGAACTCCACTAGGACATTCTCTTTTCTCAGATACAGAAACTTACTCGAACTTTAAATAAACGAACTCGTAGCGATAAAGACATCCAGTTAATGAGTGATCGTCTTATCTCGGTCAATTTTAATTTATCAGTAAGATAGTCGTTATTAACACGATAAAATGCCTTAGCAAAGTCTAGATAAATAACATCAATTCGACCTCGACGGGCGACAATACTAGTGCACCTATCTACTGCAGTGAGCAAGTTAGTAATACAGGAGTACCCTTTTCTAAATCCATGTTGTTGACTGTTAAAGAGTCTGATCACTATAAGGTGATCCCTCAGTTCATCGTTGATTAACGATTCAATAACTTTGGAAGTGTCACTGGTCAGTATTTGTTCGGGTTGCTTCATTGACCTCCTTTGATGATGAGTGTTATGTGACCCAACTTTCAAGGATGGGCTACTTTTCCTTAAATAACTTACTTAAGTGTTCAGCCTAGATTGACGCTCCTTCCCGCACTACCACGGCATGCATTTCATCTGGTCTCGGAGAGGCGTCTTTTGTGAGCAGTAACAGTTCGCGCTATACCAGCTCAACGCCTAAGTCAATGATCAACAGCCAAACTTCGTTAGTGGGATATTCGTTAACTCTTGAGTAGGTAGATGATGACTAAAAGATTTGTGAATACTGGTCAGCTAGGATCTCAGTTGATTCATTATCGCAACTAGTCAGTCCGTTGGTACCTAAAAGTTGAGAGACTCCCACTTAAGCTTGCCTGGATGATGCAGCATAGCGAAACAGACTTCTCCGACAACAAACAAAAGAATCGGGCTTCAGTGGAATCATCACTCTCACTAAATGTGTAATCTGCAAAGTTAACCTTCGGCAGGTTAAAGTCACCTAAAATTAGTATGTATGTGTGCCCCCAATTTAAGAGAGAAGCTGATTGCCTCTAGCATTGGACCATCATACTGTTCGTCAGTAAATTGCTTCCTATAAATGACTCTCACCAAGCACTTTGTAGTCCTGGACAGCTTTATGGCGCACCAGATGAACTCCTCGAAGCACTGCAACTCTTGGATGTGGATTTGATGAGCTTTTGGAGGAGAGCTAACGTAGAATGTTGCCTAACTCCCTTACCATTCTTCCTGTCGTTGCGAAACAGCAACTACCATCTCCTGATCTGACATGTCAGGAAAAACCAATGTCTCAGTAACACCTGTAAGGTTAGCATAAATGTCCTAACTTAGTTCCCTCATTTTGAGTTTATTCGGTAAACTTTGTGCATTTGTATAGACGCAATTTATGTTATCTACTTGGAGCGCACCTCCTGAGTCCTCTTTATTGTCCAGTTGGTTGGCTAAATCCTCAGGTCTTGGGAGCTGTTAAGTGCTGCCTACCAGTATAGTGTTCCCCTGGTCTCCCTCGTTTTTCTGCATCCAAGCAGTCTTCCAAGAGTACAACCAGCTCCAATGCTTTCTGTTTTCGTTGCAACCCCTCGTTCTGCAGTTTAACAGGCTGCAGCTGGACTCCAGGTGGCAGGCGATTTCTGCTCGCCCAGAATACCTCCAGTGTGGATGGTGCCATTTGGAAGGCCGGAAAGCCTTGGTCTGGAGTCATCTCATCATCTTATTCGGGCATCCGTCAGACGCTGTTATCCCCCTGAGGTTCATTGGACTCTTAAGGAACTTCCACTCGCGAGAATCCTAGTGAATATTCTCAGTGCTTGGTTTTTCAGGTGTACCTTGTATTATCAGGTTCCTTCGTCGAAATTACGCCTCGCGATTGTCGCCTGAGAGTTTTTTTATAGCCATTTACTCAGATTGTGGGATATCTAGTAGTATCCTTATTTCCTCTTCAGCTTTTAGCACGTGAGGTGCTTACAAGACATCTTCAACCTCATTTGAGTTGCAGGATGTTAGCCTTAGGAGTCGGGGCTTATCCTTAATTATTCGATTGGAACCGCGTGAGAGCCTAGTTGCAACTATTGGCCTAATCTGGTCCAGCCTAAGTTTTCTTCCTATGTTTTCCCACAGAACCGTGTCGTTCTTATCCTGAATGCTGTATGGGTGATCAAGGCTATGTTAGGTTCATGATAAAGAATCATTCTGAACAGTGATTTGTTTTATCAACTGTTGACGCTTGGGTGTTTTTGTTTTTCTTCTCACTTTGCCCTCGTTCATAGGTAGCTTATTCGCTTGCTTGGCAAGCTTGTGAGTGATTTGCGTGGTCTTCTGGACGTTCGACTTCCTTACAGACTTAGTTTTGGCCTTCCCCATTTCCATATTACCCTGCTCGAGCACTTCGTGCCTTTCTGGACCCTATGGGTTTGACTGGAGCTAAAAACCGACTGTTTTTATTACGTAAAACGGATGTCCATTTACCGTCTCGAGCATCCTTGATCTGTATCACCGTCGCCTTGTGTGCTCTCCCCATTCACGACAAAATCCTACTGAAGGATTGTAAGGTAGTTGGTGTAATTGCACTACTGAGGTGCATTATGCCTTCCGTCAAACTGGTTCCTGATCTTGTCAGATGACTTGACCATTTTTTCCGTTAGTCGGTTTCAGAATTCCAATACCCTCACACCTAGGTGCTGCTTTCGAGGTTTCCAGTTTCCCTTTTTTTCCGGTTTACTATCAGTCTTTCTTTATCTTCGATAACATGATGTTCTCAAGAACATCTTCCAGCTCAGATCTACACAGACGTCAGTGCCACTTGTGGCCGGGCTTGCTGAGTTTAGTGTACTCACCTTGCGTTAAGTTTGTGCAAGCGTCAGGAAACCACCCGTCTGGGATGTCTATTATCTCTCAAATCTTGCGAAAATCGAAAGCGTATCTTACTATAGCACAGAAAGTAAAAGTGGACGTTATTGAGATGATGTTATAGAGTAAAGTGTCTGAAATTTTGAAGGTCTGGAGTTATTCTAATTCCCCCACTTGGGCGTTTTATACATTTCTCAATACTCATTAACTTTTGAACCTCAGTTGAGCAGCCTGCACTACTCTTACAGTTGATCGATGTCATATTTTGCTTTCATGACTTAATTTTCTCTCATTCTTATCTTTCACTGCTTGGAATCCTTGTTAAAAGTAGGATGTGTCTCCTCACTGACTGTTAATTCAAGTTGTGTGAGGAAGTATAGATCGTCTGTTAGGGCTTCTGGAAAGGATAGGTTTCAGTGGTTTGAGACT